TTCAAAATCTGTTGGTTGAAAATGGTGTTTTCATCAAGACCTAACAGCACCATTAAAGCTAACATATGCTCTTTCAAGTCTATAGTGTGTATCTGAAGTGTCTTGTAATAAAAGTTGTTAGTCGTGTGTTTCTTTCGGTTTCTATATTGAGAAATTGATATTGCGATAGGATCTTCTTTGTTTCATTTATATATCGTAATACTGGCCAATTTTTTTCTAGAGGCACATCAATTAGCGGCGTAACTTTAAAGAATGATTGCCGGTGTCCAATCCGGAGTTCATATTCCGAATAAAGCCAAATCTGGATGAAAGAATAAATTTCTAGCGCTACAAGAAATTGAACAACTTACTAGTAATTGAGAAAAGATCGCAAAATAAACATTACTCTGACACTCGAATATTAATTTCTGAATCGGTTTACATCATTGAGCAATAATTATTAAAATCTTGAAAATTAAGGCTGTTATATGTAGATTCCTAAAGGGATCAAAACATTGACATTAGAAAAAAATTATATTTTTGAATACAAAAATGGGTCGGTTGATCTTGATTAAATTCAATTTTTATATCACTCAATCAATTATTTGTCTGCTGATTAAGGGTTGATTCACCGACGATAAGTGTCTTGGAAGATTTGCCTGGTGTCATCATAGTGTCTTTAAATCAAAAATTTGGATTTTGGATTAGTTTTATGACGAGTTTTTTCAATAAAAAACATTTCTAAAACAAGGAAAATAAAACGATTTAAAATATTTATATTTTATATAAGGAATCTTATATATTTAAATAAATATCATTTTATTTTTCATTGTGTCTGTTCAACTTACCTTGCCATGGACTCTTTCCATAAGTTCCAGTGAAATCGTCTTCGCGACAATCGCGGGAAAAAGTATTATGTCAGTAAGTATTCTTTTAACATCCTTACTTAAACTCTTTGCTGTCCAGGGACACAAATTACAACTGAGGATGGTTAAAGGTCTGAGCTTCTTGTGAAGAATTCGACACATATCTTGGTTCTCTGCTTTCTTTTAACAAAGGATGAGAGGCGAAAGCATTCTAAAGATAAGAAGACATCTATGAGGTAAGTCTTCCAATCGTAGATTGCAATTTTCTTCGAAATGTAATTCTATCTCTTTCTGTTTGTTTTCTGAAGTGGTGGTTTGTCTAATATTTCTCTG